GTCCCGGCCCCGGGCGGGGCAGGGCTTCGGGAGCCCGTGTGCCCGCCCGGCACTCGCTGCAGAGCCGCCGGGACAGGGCTGGGCTGGGATCGGGGGGGGAAGCGGGAGCCTGGCCGGAGCCTTGGCAGCCGCCCGGAACTCCCCCGGCTCCAGACCCGCTCCAGAATGCGCTGTCCCGGGCACCTGTGGCCGTGTCTGCGTGTCCTGCCCGTGGTACTGTGCGAGCTCCTGCTCTGAGCGAGCAGTCCCTACAGGGATGCTTGTGGTGAGATGGACTGATCACCCCAAACGAGGCGGTACTTGTTCCTTTTCTCAAAGGCGCCAGATTTGTGGTGGCCTCTTTCCCCCTTTCCCCTTTCCTTTCTTCCTTTTTCCTCTCCTTTCTCCTTCTCCTTCTCCTTCTCCTTCTCCTTCTCCTTCTCCTTCTCCTTCTCCTCCTTCTCCTCCTCCTTCTCCTCCTTCTCCTCCTTCTCCTCCTTCTCTTCCTTCTCCTCCTTCTCCTTCTCCTCCTTCTCCTTCTTCTCCTTCTTCTCCTTCTCCTTCTTTCTCCTTCTCCCTCTCCCTCTCCTTTTTCCTCTCCTTTTTCCTTCTTCTTTCTTCATGTTTTTTTTTAATTTTATTTTTTGGTTGATTGGTTTGGTTTGGTTTTGTTGGGTTGGCTTTTTTGGTGTTCTGGGGTTTTTTTTGTGTTTACTCATGAACATGGCAAAAAAAATTCCTCTCTCTGGCTGAAAACTGACAACTCTGACTTCTGTTTTCATAATGTCCTGGACTCCTGGTCAGAGCTTTAGCAGTGTACAAAATGAGCAGAGGAGACCACTCCACTCTCCAACAGCTCAAAGGCTGATTGTAAATAGGTGGGAAAACACAGTGGGAAGTGCTGGGAGGCAGCACCACAGTCAGTGTGACTGTGCAGCCGTAGTTTGGTATCACAAAATCTCACAGTTTGGTATCACTCAGCTCCCAGTGCTACCCACTCTCTGTCAAAAGAGGAACATTCCCTGTCTTCTTACGCTGCTGGGCTGAAGAACCCGTGGTGGGATCATGGGCTGCCGCTGGAAGGGCTCTGCTGTGAGAGGTGGCAGCACAAAGCTGTGTGAAACACTGGGTTCATCTACAGTTTCCTCTTCTCAGTACAACCTCCCTGACCCACTGGGCCTTCTGCCTCACTGCACTTTGGCAAACAAATTTATTTTATGAATTGCCAAATGCTGTGTTTTGCTCTCACCCAAAATACACACCTCTCCCGTAAGAGGCTGTGTGTGGGCCTGTTCCTTCAGGGGGATTTAGGTCTTCTCATTGCACAGTGAGAACATAAAGGTTTGGGGACATATTCTCAGGCAGTGCAAGTAACTGTACTCACCTGCACTTTTTAAGTCAAAACACAAGGTTAATTGCTGAGGACATATTTACAAAATCAATTGTAAGTATTGTAGTAGTCTTCTGTGAGATGAACATTTGAGTATCTTGCTGTTCTCAGCCCCTGTTAATCGCATCATTGTGTTTAGCTGTTCAGCAGCACACAGATCAAAAGGCAGAATTTAGTGCCTCTCCTTAACCATGTCCAGATTGTGAAGTACTGTACCAAGAGAATTTTTTTGCTGTTCTCACACTGCATACGTTTTGGTATTGGTAAATGCTATGTGCTGCACAAGGGAAAGTTTGCAAGAAGTTACTGCAACAGATCTCAGCGCGAGATCCCACTGGAGGAGGAAGGTGGTTGTTTATTTGCAAAAGCACTCTGTAAACTCATTTTATAAATTCAGGTTTATTTTCTCAGATTTTATTCACTGACAATATCACAACTTAATACTTGCAAGCATCAAGATGCATGTGCAGAGGTGGTCTGCCCAAAATCTGAGCAGATAAGGACTGTCAGCTGTCCCATCCTCACTTTCTCTGCTGGGTTGCTGTTGGTTGGCGGTGACAGGGTGGGTTTTGGCCAGGTCTGCTGTGCCATCTCCAGCCAACAGCTCCTATACTGCCATTTTTTTGTCTGTAAATTCTGCTTACTTGGTGCTATATGAATCTTACGTAGTTTTTTTCCTCCCCATTATATTAATTTTCCCATTTTGGGCGTCTACCCCTCTTGGAACAAGCAGGATGATGGAGAGGCTGGTGTGACGTGCTGCCCATCCTCCTGCTCTCAGAGCACGGGTTTTCCTGTGCTGGGCCTCAGCTGAGTGCTGGCCTTGGGGTGTGTAAACAGCACCTGTCCCAGTTTATTGCTGTTAATGGTCCTGGCTGTCAGTGGGTACCATTGTTTTAGCCTTCGCTCTGTTCTTTCTTCTGGTGCTTTTGCACACATCTACATTCATTCATTCTGCATATCAGCCAGTATTTCTGTATTTCTGTCACAACCTCTACTTCTTCACAGTGCTTGTGAGTCACAAACCATGAATGTTATCACTGGTGATACAGCAACCCAGTGATAACTCCAATCAAAAGGCCCCTTTTCCATATGTCACACAGACCTAGGAACAACCATGGATCCATGGCTTGTTTCCCTGACCTTTTAGCATCACTCAGCAGAGTTTGGGTACAGCTTTGTAAGCTTTAGTTATGGCATTTTTGTTAAAATTATTTCCTCATCCTGGTTGTTCCCAGCTCAGAGCAGCCCTACACTGGCATGGATCAGTTCAGGTCTGGTTTTTGGTTTCTGGTAAAGACAGCAAAGGACCCACAAGTGATATGGGAGGAGTTGATCTGCCCACAAGTGATATAGGAGGAGCTGATCTGCTCACCACCAAGCTTCACACCTTTCCAGCAGCTTCACTATTAATGATGGGCTTCCCTGAACCACATATTTTAGGTGGCCCCAGCTACCTCCCTTTAACCATTCACCGAATGTCACAGAATTATGAAGGAGAACGGACACCTGGAAGTCACACCTCCATCAGCTTCCTTCAGGTGTGTTGGACATGCTCCTGAACACATTGGCCTTGACTTCACAGTGCAGGTTTTGTGATCACACTGAGGCAGCTGCTAAGAAAAAGGTTATCTGAGGTGCAGGGGCAGCTATACTTCCTAAAATGCCTCCGAAATTTCAGTGAGCTATGTACAAGCTCATACTTGCTCTCCCAGCAAACTGCATTGCACGGTAGCTGCATTTCTAGCTCTCCATCAGCACATTGCTGTGCTGCACAGCTCAACTTACACCTAACCCTTTATCTAACAGTTTGACTCAAGCACTATAAGCTAGGCATGATCAAACTTGTAACTTTTCAGCCACAGCTGTTGATTTATTGCTCAAATGAGCTTGTTCTTGTACTCCCTTGTGAAGCACAGAGCGAGTCATCTTTAAGAACAGGAGGGAAAAAAATGTGCTGGCTCTGAAGCATCACTGCTCGGTGCAATCTGTGTCCTCTCCCGTTCTCTCTGCTGCTGTTGCCCCGTTTATCCCAGCACCTCCAGCCCTAGGCCAGCTGTTCCCAGCGTTCCCAGCACCCAACCCTGCTGCAGAACTACACCTCTGATGGGTTCGTGGACTCTGCAGCCCCTGCCTCCAGGCAGCATTGCACTGTAAGCACGTACCTTTGTGTGAAATCACTTCAGGTGAGTCTCCTGAGGGCCTTGATCAAATACAACACGAGCCTGGTGCTTGACGAAGCAGACACGTGGGTGAGGCAAAGGCAGGGCTCTGCCAGCAGCACCTGGGCTCGGCCAGGCAAAGTCCTCGGGGCACCAGGGGTTCTTCAAACACAACAGACAGTGACAAGCACCGGGCATATGCTCCAGCTCTCACAGTCCTGCTTTCCTGCTGAAACAAAAGGTTTTTAGACACCTTCTAAATGCCACAGAACACTTAACACTGGGAAGAGTGGCTGGAGCAAGTGGTGCCAATACATACATGTTCTGGTCTCTGATATGCCATTCTGTGGCCTTCTGAGCACTGAAAATGTTTCTTCCAATTTGCTATCAGAAATTAATTTATTTTCAAGTTTTCTGATGGAAAAGTATGATAACCTATGAATACAAAATGCTTTATGCTCTATCCTTTGCTAAACAAAGGTTTGATGCTGTTTCAGAAACTACAAAGGATAAGAAAGAAAAGAACAGGGGAGGTTTCCTCTGCATTAAATAAATCTCCTCAAACCCTTTTCTCCTTACAAGGTGAAGGAGGTACGATATCCACTGCAAGGTGAAGAGATGTAGCAATTACATGTCCAAAGCAAATTAATACTGAACCTTTCACAGATGCTGCCTGTCACAATGCAGTGCTTCCAGTTCAGTGGCTTCTTTAAAAAATGCAAACATAGCTGCTATGTGTCCTTTGATCTTGCAAAGAGATTGCATTTTTCTTTTCCTCCTTAGTAAGCTTTACACTTACTGACTTACCAGTGGTGGGTAATTTTCTTTTTACAGGGCAGTTCAAGATTTATTCATAAATAACCATGGTCACAAGCCCTCCCATTTTGCATAGCTGGTGTGTATTTTTCTAAAATACAGGCATTTTAATTGCTTGCAGTGATTAAGAGCCTGATGTGATTATGCAGGACCTTTCTTCTAAACCAGCCTGAGGTCCTGTAAAGATTGTGGAAGGCTCATTTCGTAAAGAACACATGAAAGGTGCTTGGTGCCCTTTGGAATGATAAGGGAGAGAAGACATAGGAGTTTTGTCAGCTTTGTGGCCAATATGGAAGGGATTACAGAAAACAGCTGTAAACTTCAGCAAACTTGTTTTGGAAAGCTAAAAGTTAAAACCAGCAAAATAAACAGAAGGTAAACCATCTTTTTTGCGCTTCATGTCTCCTTATGCTGCTGCTAGCAGGAGCTTATTTGGCATGAATATAACAAATGTGACTGTAATTCACAGCTCTCAGCCCATTTTGTCCCATATTTTTCCTCCTTTGAAACACAAGTTTTATCTACTTTAATTACTGATGTGAGGACTGTAGACTGAGCCTACAGATACTCACCTACACTTTAGGTTGCTTGAGGGTTAATATCAAAGCTCTCAGTGTTGAAAATTCAGTAAGGTATGTGCTAAGAAAATGGATTTTAAAATTTGCACTGGTTAAGAACACTTTAAAAAGAAATACTGAGCAAAAAAAAGAGAATAGTCTTGAGATCTTTTATTAATGTGCACAATTTGATGTGCCTATTAGTAGCTAAAGAGATAACACATATTTTAGCAGTCAATTTTTTAGAGAACAAATTGCAGTGAGTAAAGCAGTGGGAAGGGTGAGGTGCTGAATCATAGTGAGACCTGAATATATCAGGTTATCCACTGCAGTAACTAGATAAGTACTAGGTGTTGCTGTGCTTTTCATTAGAAGAATTTCTTTGCCTGAGGCCAAAATTAAAGCAACAAAATTTTACTGTTTGCTAACAGTTTAAAACATGACTTTTCTTAAATCAGTTTTCTCAGCAGTAATTTTGTGAATAAAACATCCCTTTGGGGCTCCAAGACAAGGACAGGTAGTTGCTGGATGATGTGTGACAGGGGGTACAGCCCAGTCCTGGCTCCATCAGCACCGAGTCACTGCTCGCTGGGGTGGACCCCACCACAAAGTAATGTTAATTAGTCAGCAGATGGTAGAAGTTACAGTGGAGACACAGCAAAGTCAGAAGCTGACCTTTATTCAGCTAAATGCACACTGCAGTCCTAATGAAGAGCTGCTGCTTGCAGGCAGATTAGGGTACAGCTGGTAAGTAAAGGGTTGGAACAGAACTGGATGACGGAATTAAGGTTTTTCTGTCTGGGTGCCTGTTCTTCTGCTGATAACTTGGACACACCTTTTCCCTTGCTCTTGCCCACATAGATAAGACATTGAGAAATGGTTATTTAGCGGCTTGTGGGGGTGGACGGAGAAGAGTTTTATTAGGAAAGCTGAAATGATTAATTTAAGGGGCTGGAGACCATGTGTGGTGTGAGACAGCAGGGCAGCAGCATTCATGTCTGCAAGACACAGGGTTTCTTGATTGACCTTTCTTTATTTTCCCAAGACGATACCATGGGCTTTCCCTGACTTATTGCAGAGACTTCCTCCTCCCCCAGCTCTTCTCTGTTTGGAAAAAAAATAAAAAAGGACAATTCTTTCTATGGACACAAAGAAAATCTGGATTATACACAAATGGGAACACAATCATGTATTAAGGGTTGATTTTTTTGGTGCTTCTTCTTTTTTAAGTCTCTAAGGACTGGCAGAGGGATGCTTCATCATCTAAACCTCCACACAAGGCAGCACTTCCTTCCACCTCCAAGAGCCAGTGGCTGCCTGTGGGGCAGCTGGTCAGTGTCCAGCAGGACACACATCCCCTCCCCGTGGCATCCCTGGCACTTCTGGGGGACACACACCTGTGTGAAGGGAAGTGGGATTGCCCAGTGCCACTCACCACAGCAGTCTGCTCTATGGATCTGCAAATTTGTCTATAAAATATTTTTTATAAACTCAGATTTGTTTATAAAATTTGTTTAAAAGCTGAAGATATGAAAATAACTCTACAAGAGGAGGATTAAGTGGAACAGGGACAAGTGATAAGAACCATAAAATTGCATAAAATAACAGAAAATATTCACATATCACTCAGATACTTGTTTTCAAATTAAAATTTTTAAAAAGTGCTACCTGCTTTACAGTCAGAAAAGCCCCCCAAACCAAAATGACAGTTCTCTGGACTATCTTCACTAAATGACAAATCCTTCCTCCTGGTTTTCTTCAGAAATCTCTGTAGCAAAATTCCCATCATCGAGTTGTCTTCTGACACCAACTTCCATGCCTGGATAAGCAGGTTTGGGTTGCTGGATTTTTCTTCCCCTCTTTACAATCCCGCTTTCTCAGATTACTCAGGAGAGCTGAATATATTAATAAGATTAAAGACTCGATGTTGATAGTCTGTGTAGATTTCTCTGCTGAATTAAAGAAATCAAGGCCACACCTTCAAGCTCCATTCCTTTCTTCCTACGTGTCCATCTACTGATTGCAGTACTCCCAGATCCTTTAAATTGGGATTTTTCAAATAAAACACTTTGTGTATTTACAGAGCACTCAAATAGCTCATGATTTAATGGTCACTGTTAAAGGGTGTGACCAAGTGCTAATCCTTCTTTCATATTTTTGGTTTTTTCCCCCCTGCAGACAGCTGAAACGTGACCACCCCGGTGCCGTGGTCCTTAGTACTGATGACTTCTTTGTTGAAAATGGTGTCTACGTCTTTGAGCCTGACTTCCTAGAGGATGCACACAAGTGGAACCAGAAAAGAGGTGACCAAACTCCATCCAGGGGCTTGAAAAATAGTTTTGCATTTCAGGCTGTCTTTAAACTTAGCCCCCAGAATGAAATATCTCAAGGTGGTGTCATACACTGCAGTTCATGGGGTGTTAACTGAAAAAATACCTTTACCACTTCTGATTTGATTTCTTTTGACTTATAAAAGGGAAATTTGTTAAAGAAAACATTTTGGAGGTTGGTTAATGTTATTTTAGAGGAAGCACTTTTGAATTTTGATACCCTTCAGACACCATCCCAGCAGCTGCTCCCTGCAGTATAGGCACCACAGCTTTCACCTCTAACTTCTTAGGTGTCTGTCCTGACCTGGAGGTGGGTGGGAATGTAATGATAGACAGGAAGAAAACTTGCAGGCTGAGTTTGAGAATTAAACAATCCAGGTCTCCACTCAATGCACCATGCTTTTGTGGCTGTGCTCTGAAGGGATTTGTAGTGATGGTGAACATACTTTGAGATCGTGTAACGGAGATCTCCTGTAAATGACAGTAATTTTTGGTTGTTTCAAGTATGTTTAATGCTTCAGATCAGCCAGAGGCTTTTCTCCTTTTTCTCCTTTATCAGGAGAGCTGCTGGGCACTGATCTCGGCTCCCATTTGGGTGGTAGCTGCAAGGCCAGGTCTGTGGGGAGCCAAGTGTGCGAGCAGTGGGCAAAGAAAGGACACTTTAGGGCTAGTAAGGCCTGGCTCTGATATTTAATATATTTTAGCTTTACTTGATGTGTTACATTGCAGCACGCAAAGCAATGAAGAATGGGAAAAGCCCTGTTATTATTGATAATACCAACATCCATGCCTGGGAAATGAAGCCGTATGTGATGATGGTAGGGAAAGCTCCCATTTATTGCTTTTATATGCCTTTATATGACACAAGTTGATCTGACTGAAAATGTTCTTTACAAGGCTAAAAATATTTACTTCAGTTTTCCTATAGCACTCTAATTATAGTTAGGGATGGATATTGGGATGAAGGAGGGGCAGAGGTGCCACTGTAGTTGCTTAGCTGGTCAGCTTTGTAACTCAGTGGAGGCAAAACTACTTGAAAAGATTAATGGCCTTTGAACCTGCCCTGATACATCTTGGTCTTGAGGACATCACACCCTTCCCCAGTAGTGACATGAATCGAACAGTTCCCAAACTCTTTGTTGACAAGTATATCAAGATATGATTTATAATTGTAGTTCATGACTAGTGAAAAACACACCATTACAGTCTTTCAAGACACATTGGTGTGTCGTGTCAGGAGTTCCGTCAGAGGTGGCAATTCTTCTAGTGCAGTTTCATAATGTCACTTTTGTGTCCTTCAGGCACATGAAAATAGATACGAAGTAACATTCCAAGAACCGGATACACCCTGGAAGTTCAATGTTCAAGAACTGACAAGGTACATAGTTTTCTCTTTGCTGGAGCAGACAGGTTGTCATTTTGTTGTCAGGCTCTGAGAAGGCCAGCCTTCTTCCTCTTCATATAAGGAAGAATGTAGCCTGGTAAATGACAACAGAAGGATCGTTGTGGAAAATTTCCATTACTGACTACCTGGTCTGTAATGAATTCAGTCCTGAAAGAGCCTGAAGTGAGTCAGGCAGTAGAAAAATCAAGCTCCGAAGCTTGTTTTTGTGCTGCAAGCTTGATGGGGCAGGAGCCCTGATTTTCATTCTGTATTTTGAGCAGCAGTCTCTTTTGTTTGGGCACAAACTCGAATCTAAGTACTACAGACAATATTCAGTATAGACAGTATATAGTATAGACTGTCCTGCTGCAGCATGGAGGGATGGTACACCAAGCGTGGGTAGGAAACAGCATTCTACAGGATCTTTGTAAAGATCTTAACACACACACACACACACAAAAGGGATGTAAAGAGTGTATCCAGTAGCTCTCCCAGCTACCAAATCCAGAAGATAACACATGCTAACTTGTTAGTGCAAGAAAACAAGGCATGGGCACTTCATTGTAATGGATGGATTTGTTTTCTACCAGCCAGGAGCTCTAGACAAAAATTAATGCTGCTCCTGTCTGTGTGTGATGGACACAAGCGGCAGAGGGCCAAGGCCCAGAGGTGGGACATGGCAGATGATGGCTCAGGGCTGGGGACAGGTGAGGACACCACCAGCCTGAGCTGTCAACCAGCTCTGGCCTCAGCAGCATTGGCAGGGGAGCATTGCAGGGGCACAATCTGATCATTCTTTGTAGGCAGAGCTGCTCAGTAATTTGCAATTTGTTTTATTAAGTATTTGACACACATTGACTTTTCACAGCAGCATTATAAAGCTAATTGACATAACACTCACTAGGGCACAAGCTGTGCCTTCAGGCACTAAATGGCAAACCCAAAGATATCCAGTGTTTGCAAAGTCACAGACAGAAATTCCTGGTGGTCTTTGGGAAGACAATTCCCGCTAAGTAGTGGAGGGATTGTGGCTGGTGCTACTCTGGCTGCTCTATCCAGAAAGCCCTGCACGTCTGAGCATGGTGTTTCCTTGCCTCTCAAACTTGTCATTTGCCAATCTACCCTGGAGCCTGAGCCACATCATGTGTGACATTTCCCTACTTGATCTCCAAGCAGCAGCAGTTTGCGACCTCTATCTTTGCGGCTATGTCAGTGTCTGGGCTGGCTGCAGCCCTTGGCTGCTACCCCAGCTGTACAAAAGCTCAGTGAGACCAGCAAGCTGTTAGGGCTAAAACACAGCAACACTCGTATAAAATACCACACAGATCCTCTACACAACTCTTCTTTTGGACATTTGTCAACTTACCGTGTCCTGCCTGCCTCCCAAAAATCACCGTGTTATGTCTTTCAGCAGTCACAATAATATTCCTAAGAAGTAGGTAGAAGTGAACAGTAACTTGAAAAAGAGGGCCAGAAAGAGATCAGTGGAGACCTGAATCATTACGCTGAACCTGTCAGGAACTTCAGCAAACTGAAGATAACCTCTCATACACAGGCAGCTAAATACTTGTATTTTCTGTTACTGTTGACTCTACAGAAGAAATATTCATCATGTCCCTCGGGAAAAGATACAACGGATGAAAGAACAATACGAGCACAATGTTACTTTCCACAGTGTTCTCCAGTCTGAAAAACCAAGCAGGGATGAGGGAAGCTACAGTGGAGCAAGTGCAGCTTATGGCACGGGTCCCCACCCCACCCACCCTTCTGCCTTCCGGAGGAGAAGACCTGGCATGGCACGTACAAATGTGACATTTAACTGAAGGAACATTTAACTGCATTCCCTGCTGTTTTAATTATCAGGGTACAAGAGTCTCTAGTTTTACATTTTTTTCTAACCTGTTTTTTATTCTTGTGTTTTTTATTTCTTATGAATTTTTAAATGGCTTTGGACTGTGATCTCACAGCTCTACATGACCACAGTAAGAGCACTGCACCCACTGTACTCCTTCTCATCCCTCTTCCTCCGTGAAAATCCCTCCAGGCATGTGAAATGTACTGGCTCTACCACATGCTATATTTTGGATGTTTTTTTCTGCCTCACAGTCTGATGCTAGAAATTCCTAATTTATTTCTGTCTTAATGCCATTGTGGCCAATTCTTTCCCCACACAACTGGCATTTCTCGCCATTTTAATGCTTTATATCTGACTGTATAAACTTTTTGTATCTACCGTCTTGCCTTCAGCATTATTGTAACTTTCAGATACAAAGTGAATGATGACCAAAGTAGCTCAACAGATTGTAGCAAGATTTGATGCTGTTCCCTCTCCCCGGACTGGATTCATGCTGGTCTTACCTCACACACAAACCTTCCTCCAGCCGGAAAGCAAAACACTTCAATAGAGCAAACTTAGCTCTTCCTCTTGCTGAGACACAGGAGTTCACTGGTCTCAAGATGGAGAGGCTCCTAAACTGAAACATTTGTGTTAGGCTTGTGCATGTTAACTCCTAAGTGGGAACAGGGCTACAGGAGCAGCTCTGAACAGCTGAAGCAGAAACACAGACCAAGGAGCTATTTACTAATAACTCTGCATGGCATTTTGCTGTGAATCAAATAATCACAGCTGTTCTTTAAACCTCTTTTAGTGCTAGATGGAAAGTCTGAGGAGGAAAGCACGAGAACTGTGCCAGAACAGCAGAGCAGCATTTCAGAATTAAAGTGTTCTGTTTGGTGAAAGTAAGAGCTCTTTATTATGCCCTGTGCCACTCTGGGCAGCCAAACAACTATTCTAATGTTGCAGAGGGTAACAAAACTGATGGCTTTAGACTAAAACAAAGATCCTGCTGTAATATAAGAACACAGAATCAACGGCTTACAAAATGTCATCAAACCTTCAGGCACACTGATGCTATTGTACAATACATCTCTGTGAGAAGTGTTTGCATACTAAACTTCAAACTATTCTGCAAATGAAGTGTTACTTAATGAGTCTGCTTGTGTAATAGAACTTTATTAAATACAATCAAGCTTTAATGTACAAAGTGTAAAAATAATTTGAATTTGAAATATACACAATACTGTACATACACATTAGCAGCATTTTCGGGATTTTGGTCTTTGTAGCATTCTGTGGGCTGGTAATGAGTCCTCAGGTTCCTTTGGGTTCTTCTGAAGAGCCTCAGCTACTTCAGAACTGCTTTTGATGAGTTATTTGCTTCCCCAGTAGACCTGGAACTATTTCTGGATGAAAGATCATCAGATAAAGTATTAGCTGTTGCATTGCTGTTTTCATTTACACAATCCATCTTCTTTTCTTCTGGTAAATTATTCACAAGTGCTTGTGTATTAATCATTGCCAGTTCTTCATCAGCAACCAGGTCATTCTCAGGAAGATGGACGGTTTCTCTCACTTTTCTGCAAGGGGTGACACGGCCAATATTCTGATCTGTGTCTTTAGGTGACTTGCTGTGCTGTAAACCCAAACTTCGTGGAGGCTGAAATGCTCTTTTAACAGATGGAGAAATTACTGAACATATTGGTGTCAGTGGTGGAGGGGCAGGTATGCAGCTGAGGAAGTCCATAGCTTTTCTCTTTTTGCTGGTTTTGAGATGGTCTTCATTAACTGTAGCAGGTGAAGGTGTTTTTGCTGACCCTGGTGTGACAAGTTTCATATTTGGTGTCCAAGCTGACCAAGGGCTTTGATGCTTTATTTCAGTTCTAGAAGAGATCTGGGTAAAAAGAGAAAAAGTTTTGTGTTGAATAGAATGTTGTTCCATGAAATTCCTCAACGACTTCCAAAAAATGGGGGAAACCTCCCCTCTCCCCCTGATATAAAACCACTACATCATCATTCATATCCCATTTAAGTTTAGTTTGGTATCTCCTGATGCTGATTAATATTATTCCTTCAAGTTCTGTTGTTGATGAATCACTGTTTATCTGTGCATTTACATTTTGTTTCTAAGACCTAAGCAAAATATATGGGAATTTTTCTATGCCAGATGGTACCTAAATCAAAGGACTCATGAGTCTTCTACTGCCTTGGCTATGTCCTCCACATGTGATTAGTTAAATAAGTAAAAAGGAGGAAAAACATTTGAAGAAAAACCAGGATAGAACATAGACCAAAAAATTTAAGACATCAAGACACACAAGACAGATGCTGCATAGCAAAGCTTTCCAACACAGGCTTGCGAATACACTTAATGTCTCCTTTTTTTTAAAGATGATTAATGTATTTAATAAGCTATAAAAATATAAACTAGTTAGTCTATAAAATATATAAACTAGATCTCCAGAATTAAACATTAGCCCTCCCCCTCTGAAATGGAAAAGGATGCCTTATAAGCTTAAACTTAGTCCCCAGGAACCGATATCACACCAAGGTATTTCCACCTCCCATGCAACCCATGTCAGGAAACATTTTTGTTCTGACTGTGCTCAGTACTCCACATCAGAAGCAATTCACCACCAGCAGCTTTCATGGGAAGCTTGAGTACTATTTAAATCAATTTTTGTCAAAACTGCTAAAATACATTTACGAGGTGATATCTCTTCCCTTCTAAATCCTAGAAATAGTAAACAATATCTAGAAAAAGACCAGGAAGTAAATTCTCCCAACAAAGGTAGGAGCTGCAGAATGCCTTGAAATAAAAATGGATTTCAAGATTTTCCTTCTGTGACATTTACACTGGATAATCTTGACAGTGGAACCAAAGAAGGACTAAATCATCTACAAAGAAAGGATGACTCATTTTACTCACATTAAATTCAAAATACTTAAGGTACATTGTGGAAATACAGGCCACAAGGGGAAGTTTTCATGTACTGTTTGAAGGAAGGACAATCTATCTCATGGCTCCTCCTGGGGAGTAATCCTAAACCCACACACACAGGAAAAGCTTCTAATCAGCTTGCATTGCATTGCCCTGAAAAGACTGGATGAAGCAGACTGAGAAGCAAGACCATTCACCACAGCTATAACACTTCCTTAAATCCTTACTGCGTATACTGCCAGTACAAACACAGCATTAATTACCAAAAGCTTACCAAACTTTTATCCTCTGTATAGCTGCAGGAAGGAGAGGGGTTTTCCAAGCCACATCTTTTAGCTGAACTGGGTGTAAGCATGAGATTTTTTTGTAGCAAATTCATCAGTTTACTTTCTGCATCAGAGCAGAAGGAAGCCACGTTCTGTAAGGGAGAACAGAGTTTGCAATGCAGAATAGCTGACTTTCAAACTATGCAAGTACTATATACACTACATTTAAAACTTTTCTCATCATTATCCCACTGGAATTTTATTTTATATCAAACCAACAACACAGATGATTGCTGCACTTTCTGTCCATGGCAGATCCCCTATTGACAGGTACAAGATCTTTTGCCAGCCAGAGATTCTGTGGCACTTCCTAAAGACAGTGCTGGATGAGTTGAAAAAAACAAAACAAAACAACAAAAAAATCAAGACATTCAATCCCCCAGGAAAATTGCATTGACATCTTACTCCACCTCCCAGAAAATCCCCCCTCAAATTCAGCATTATGTGCATTATTTGTTTTAAAGATTTATTATTACTAACAGACTTTTTGGTGAAGGATGTAACACAGCAGTAACTAAAACTAACTATCAAGTAACACCTCTACAGGTTTACCTCTATCACACTTCTCAGTTCATGAATCTTCTCTTGAAGATAACATTCCTTTGGACTGGCTGAGAATAAAGAGAGATCTCCAGCCAACAGCACGGGAATTTCTGATCTGAATTCAGACTGCCACTGAAGGTTGCTTGCAGAAATGAATGAGCAGCGGACAACTACATCTTCAACAGCCAAGTGTCTGAGATCTGTCCAGATCTTTATTGCCACTAAATTATAGCTTTCATCAGATAAGTACACTACAGTAGTGAAACCTAAATGCACAAAAGAAGTCTGAATTAAACCTTTATATGTCTTCAAGTAAAGGTACTGTCATTTGTATCTACTAAAACAAAAAGTCACACACATCTTGAAAGAGCTACATGGCAGCCCATCTGTGTGGTGACAGCAATCTCATGCTTCTTTCATATTCTATATATTGTTGTCTTTAAAGCAATACTCCTTTTTATCCAGAAGATTATCCACTCCTTCCATTGAGCTTCAGTGCCTGAATTCCACTCATTCCATGACACTACACAAAAGAGGGAGCTCATGTACATGCACGATGGTGTTTCTGCAGATGCTGAACACAAATGTGAGAACTCACGCCCACCATTTATGGAAAAAATATAAGTATAAAAATATGTAAATACAAGCTGCTTTTGCGCTTGGATCCTGCCTTACTAACTTCCTGAGCTAATAAGCAGAGACAGTTTTTCTTCAGAAATATAGATTTATCTGCCAGCATGTCACTGTAATGGGATTTATTAGTAGGTTTTCACAGGCCTGAGATGCAGGTACAGCACCATGATAACTCTGACTTTTGAAAAAATAATTCAGTGCTTATTCAATGGGAGAATATGAATGTGGTCCACAACATACCTGTTCTGCTAACAGAAATTACAACTCCAACTAAATCCACTTCAGCACATGGTGGCTGAAAAGAAGGATCCAACAAACTGGTGAATTCTAGAGCCTTTCTTGGAAAGAAAATCTGTACCAGCATCTCCTGTGATACCTGAAACACAAAACTTCAGTATTTACCACACTTACGGAGTGTGATGCATTTTAATGATGCACATTTATGCACTTAAAGCACCTACTGATAGCTGTAGATACTGAGTTTTCTTCGTGGCTGTTAACTGGATGCTGGTGGAGTCTGCCCTGCCCCTGGACTGGGATGCTGACAGCTGGAAGATCCTGTAGCGAGCGCCTTCCTTCAGCAAGGAACATACATCGGGCAGCGGGCGCCAGATACTCAGTACTGCTCCTGACAACAGCACAGTAAGCTCAGTTTCCTGCTCAGTAATAATTTGAAGGCTTTTAAACAAAATAAACCTACAACACACCCTCCTGTCCAAAAGCCCTAAGCCAATAATCAAACTGGAAATATTAAACTACAAGGTAAAATACTGTTGGGAAACTGAAACTCTTCAAATCCACCTATGGTGGCCAGTTACCACATTTAGTCAAAAGCTATTTATAACTTTTCAAGTACTAACCTTTATGTTTTTCTTGCTTTCTGTAGTCTACCACACATAATCTCCATACTGCAGACACATCCCTTTTGTAACAACCGTTTTCTTCCTGTTCTGCTGACTCTATAGCCTTCTTGAATTGTTCCTGTATCTGTGTTTGTTTTTTGTCGTTCATCAGCTGCCTGTAAGCCTTCAAGGCTTTTAATTGCTCATCACTGAGATATCCCTGCAACCAAGAGAAAATTAACTCATTATCTTTTTTATTAATCAAAAAAACACTGTCGAGATTCTTAGATAGCCTCTTTCTTGAGTGTTCATCTGTTAGAAGCAATTTATTTCCAGCTGATACACTATTAGGACTTTAAATGAGGTTTATTAAAACAACTGGAGGCAGCAGTCTTACCTGGTGCTCAGCTGGTGCTCTCTGGTCTGTGCAGAGCATTACACTACACACTGTTCTTACCTGACAATTAGTGAGAAGCCTGCTTGACAGTGCTTAACTAAGGTGAATAGTTAATATAACAGGCAGGCTTGTCTGTTTAATATGAAGGCATATTAAGAAAAATTTCTGTAAGAATAAAGGAAGAGTTGTACACAAAGGCTGCTGTCTTTGAGCTGACACAATGATTTACACTAAAATGCATCAAACCCATCACTTTTCTGACCAAGCCTTCAAGACCCAAATGCCTGTACATGCAGCTCCAGAGACATGGACACTATTTTATCAAATGAAGACACAGATCATATGGCTTTATGACAGACAAGGATCCTCACTTTCAAAAGACAAGGCATGTATTTAATTTTTAGCAACTGGCAGGGACTAATTACCTGCATCTTTATTAGTAAAGGCATAAACACTTAAAAGTTGTGATTTAACTGGAACAGGGAATGAAGACAACAAAGACAATGTAATTATTCAA